AAAAGACATAGCCAAAGTAAAAGTTTAAAATTTTCATGTAGAAGTGGGTCAAACTCCAAGGTCAAAGTCAAAAGGTCAAAATTTGTGAAAACCAAAGAAAGGTCTTGTCACAAGAAATACACATGTGAAATATGAAAGACAAATAGACAGAGAGACAGATAGAAGGACACGACAAAAACTATATACCCCCGAAACTTTGTTTAGGGGGGCATATAAACTTAGAAAAGCCTAAAGAATCTACATATATGTTTTCAGATATGCACTTATATTTTGGTTCTATTTACAATATACAGTGTTGAATTACATGTACTTCCATTCTTTATAGGGAGGAGGAAACAATCCCATATATCCCAGAGTTATCAGCTACAAATCGGTGGGGGGAGCAAATGAGCTGTGTATGTCTGTTTGTTTTGAAAGTGGTAATGCCTGGGTAATTAACGTAACTTAATTTCCACATTACTGATGTTAGAAAATAACTGTCTGCTTTCTGGAAAGATTCACTTCGGACTTTAAAGAATAAAGATTATTTGGGTTTGAGCCTCTATTCTTTCTTTTAGGAGAATAATTTTGTAAGAATGTTCCGTAATATGTTATATTGGCATAAATGTATAAATCATGGATAGGCTTACAATATTTTCTAATCATTTAATCCTAGTTAATCACTTTTCTTTTAATGCAATCAGAATGTGATGAAATTTTGAACATTACTCCTTATTAGCTATTTCAGACTATGCAAGTTTTGACATTTGAGTTTTACACCAATTTAAATCTTAACAATTCACAATTAATGTTGTTTTTTAGATCTGTCCATTATACGAGTTCATAAGCACCAAACTCGCTTGAATTTCTGACCCCCCTAGTATATTATAATGGGGGTAAAATATTCAAGCGAGTTTGGTGCCTGTGTACGAGATCAACCCCCTAAATAGTTTCTTGTTTCAAAGGATGACTTTGACTATTTCATATCAGCTGTGTTGCTAGGAATGTTTGCAATTAACGATAGTGACTCAGAAATATCTGCATGAAGAACACTTAACAAAACACTTAAGTGGATGATTTCTTCTGTAGGGAAAGCTGAGAGATTTCCGATACATTTTTGCAGCGGGAAGTTAAAAAATTATTGCAATTCATGGATTTACTGAAATATAAAAAAGAATCTTTATTGGATGGGATGACATCTGGAGTATGAAACAAAAGGGAAACGTTAAAACGTATTTTTGTTTCATGTGAATCTTTTTGTGATATGTTAAAGCAACTGTAACAAATGGCCTTCTTAAAATTTTAGTGTCGTGGAATAAATAAAAAATTGTATCCTACTTCATGCCAAGACACCATGACAATTTATTTAAGAAATATAAAGAGTTATTATAGCAGGAAATACAAAACTTTGGAGTTCTTTCTTGTTACAGAGTCATATTTGTCTAAGGAAGGATATGCAGATAACGAACAGTATTTAATATCAAAGCCCATAAAACAATACAAAATAGGAGCAGAGCAAACACAGACCTCCTAAACATCAGAGGTGGAAATAGGTGCCATGGAGAACTAAACATGGTTTTGCCGGTCCAGAAAAGATTTTTAATGATATTTTCTAAATATCTATGTTTATAAAATTGATCTCTTATTGCGGCCTCATCCTACTTATTTTTGGGGGTCACGATTAGAACAAACATCTACACTGTGTCATGCAATTTTTCAAGCCCAATGGTTCTTTAAAATGATTTAAAAGATGACATAAAATGTATGCCTATTCTTACTTATCTCCCCTGGATCACTTTCACTCAAGGATACTCCGTTGTCCGTTTGGTTTAAATTGGCATATTGCAATATTGGAGAAGTTGAAAAATGAAAAAAAAATAACTGTTTGGCTTATATACTGCTTTCAATTAAGGTAAACAAATGGTATGATATAGCTACTCAAACGAGTATATTATTCACAAACAGGTTGATGAAAAAATATCGTTTAAAATTATTATATCGTAAGATTAATTGTGAAACATATGAAGATAATAAACAGTATTCAAGATCAAAAGTCCATAATACAATACAAAATAGGAGCAGAGCAAACACGGACCACCAGAACCTCGGGGATGGGATCAGGTGCATGGAGGAGCAAAGCATTCCTGCCGACCGGTCAAATACGTCGAGTTCTCCTTGTGACCATCGGGAAATAACGGGAAAATCCGTCGTCAATGCAGTATATAAAAAATGGACTAACATTTAGTATGAAAAATGTTAGTCAGCATTTGACTCAATGGTAAATTATATTTGCTGACGTGGTTATTGTATCGACCATAGAACTTACGAAATAATGATTTTAAACAAAACGGCTTTTATTCCCGCTTCATCAACTTGTTGCCAATAATAGTCTGATACATCTCTCACATTTTTGAATATTTTATTAGAAGTTACCTAACGACAAAGCTCTATGAAATACGTGATGACTTCAACTTTTCAATCGTCAACTTCTATTACTTATGTTGCAATATACCCTTCTCAACTACATATGGAGTTTATGTCTCTCAGTTTATTTGATCTGTAAACAATTTCTTAACGAAGCAAGCTATTGACAAACAAGTTAAACAAACAATAGTCAACAGTCTCGACTGAAGTCAATCTGATTAAAAGCAGATCTTTACTACGCTCCTCAATTGTACAGCGACCATGCATCAGAATTTCTCACCAAACAAAGATCTATTTTAAGTGTATTAATTCTTAGGGCATTATTTAATGGATTTTTTTCCTGATCACGAAAGGAGTGCAGAGTGGGTGTTACAAGTCGACAGGGGATGCTCACTCCACCTTGTTACCTGCAGCTTATCACATCTCTTATGTTTTTACAGGTCTGTGTTTGCTCTTCTCCCAATTCGCATTATTTAAAGCAGTATTTGAAATTAGTTCTCTACCACCTGAGACGCACAAATTTTGCCATGTAGTTTTCTCGGGTTAGAGGATTGTTGGTAGGACTGTCAAATTTCACTGGCAGTTAGCCCTGCACGTCGAGCTAATTTTACGGTGAGTTTCAAATATTGATTTAAAGCGACTTTAATCTTGAATATTTTCTTTATCTCCATAGTTCAGGTACTAGCGTTTCTACTAAGTCGAACTTAATTATAGAATATAAAATAAGAAACAATTGTAAAGCTACAAAAGCGCTCTCGCAAGTAAAGTTTATAAATTCAAAATAAACAATTTTACTCTTCTTTCCTTCGAACCTCTTATATCAACAAAGACAAAAAACACATGTGCAAACCTATATATATATATATATATATATATATATATATATATATATATATATATATATATATATATATATATATATATATATATATATATAATAATTACATTTTTTGAAGTAATTGGAAGTAATTTGTAATTGAACATTTTTGCAATTACTTGTAATTGTAATTTAATTAATTACACTGAAAAAATACCATGTAATTTCAATTACTTTTTTAATTACATTCAATTACTTTATATAATACACATGCATGATATATTGTCACCACGACCTCCCCATTATAATGTTTTTTTTATTTTATTGCAAAACATATCCTCAGTTTCAATTAAACAGAAGCCATATATATATATATATATATATATATATATATATATATATATATATATATATATATATATATATCCATATATATATATATATATATATATATATATATATATTTTGTATATATATATATATATACATGTTATATATATATTATAAAAGAAATATTTAATTTGAGAGGTTATAGTTGCTACTTATTTTATTTAAAATACACACTTTTAATTAAATATCATATCCCATGCAATTTGTGTACATGTAGGTTTTGTGTGGAGGAAACTGCATCAAATTGATCTTACATAGTTCTTTACTGTTTTGTAAATAAAAGTTATGATTTAAACCACAAAGATACACAATGCCTGCTAGCATATTATTTCTTGTATTGTTTGTGCAGAGGCTGTACTTATATTCAAAAGAATGATCCCTGTTCTGTATATTCATTGACAAGGATTATATAAAATTTCAAAAAAAAAAAAAAAAAATAATAATAAGATAAAATAAAAAATGTAATTTTTAATTTTATTAATTAGTTTTGTAACGTAATTGTAATTTAATTAATTAATTGTCTTAGAAAGCCTGTAATTTAATTGTAATTTAATTGACAAAGTAATTGTAATTTAATTAATTACTTTTTAAAGTAATTGACCCCATCCCTGATATATATATATATATATATATATATATATATATATATATATATATATATATATATATATATATATATATATATATATATATATATATATATATATATATATATATATATATATATATATATATATTAGTTGTTAGAAAACGTAAGCATTGTTGCCTTGTCATTTTTTTCATAATATTAATTACCGGACACTGTGCTATTTCTTTTCATTTTTGGATATATATATATATATATATATATATATACACATTTGTGGTATCTCTCTTTTATATAATCATACAGAGAGAAATTATAATTCTGTATGAAGTTTGTCATTTTTGACCTAATCACACGGGCAATGATCTCTACCGGTACAAAATGACTTGCTCTACTTGATTTTCATGTATAGAAATGAAACAAATAAGCAAGTAAAATAATCATTATTTTATTTACAATGTAAACGAATATTTCATACATTTTTGGCTATCGATTTAACCTGCGTACATAGAGAATATACACATGAAAACTAGCGTTTGTTTACCTAATTAGCAAAATTAGAAAAATGTAATAAATTTTTGTGATAGTTTAGGCAGATTTGTTTTGTTTTTTAGTAACGTATTTATTGAAGTTGTCACAACACATGTATCAATCGAACAAGTTTATCCGGTCTTCGATCATTGCCTTAGAATGGTGTCTTTCTAGATATTAACATTACCTCCTGGTCCTATATCCTTAAAATTGTATTTCTATACTTTTTCTTTTAACTCTATAATAAACTACATCTACACTTCATCTTCAGCATCACTGAAGGATACTCTGTATTCTCATAAATGTAGCACTTTTTATTTTGTTTAATGATACTTGTGAAAGTGACTGTTGATACGCGTAAAGAGCCGCCTGTGGATTCCCTGTGAGCTGGTAACAGATTCCTAGGATCTGCCATGATATGTCATCTACACCTTCCGGTATGAACATCCTCCAATGATGTATTTCTTGGACAAATTCCTGGAGAATACACAGTAGTGTTTGTACTTTTGATGTATCAACATGCCTGTAGCACAAGACCTCCAGCATGCACAAGAGTACGGGAGTAGGGATAGCCAACTGAAACTGTCTCTCATTTAAACAAGACAGTTGTTCGGGCAATAATTCATTGATATAACAAATATTAGTGTTAAGGTAGATAAAAAAATTTGTTAAAAACCTCATTTTTGAAGTCAAGGACCACCCACTTAAAGCCTCTGTATACATATCTGCAGAATTGGTAATACTCATTCTATATACCATTAAGACTTTTGTCATTTCTAAAACATATACTGCGTCCACAAATCTCATTGTCTTGTAGTAATACATGGCCAAATACCCCATATCAGAAGTGCAACCAAACTTGGCTGTTAATTTCAGCAGGCGATGGGACATTCTATCAGCAATATACACAATTTTGTTTCGACACTTTTTGATGTACATATTGTTTAATATAAAGGCCAAACTATGGAGGATGGAGGTCGTGTGTTTCTGTAAGATGACAACGTGATATGGCGTCAAGGGTGTACATATCAAATGTTCTACGGCTCGTAGGCCTTTTATACAGTGAAACAGGTTTGCTATTCCTTCCATACCTTCACCAATTATACAAAAAAATAGGTTGCAATCAGATAAAAACTCGGTTAACAAGTCGCCATTATCTGTACAAATTGAGAGTCTGGGGTTATAAAGGACTTTTAAAACATAGGACCAGATGAAGGAACTGTGTAGCAGTGATATCAAACCCTTCTCATACAACGCATGCAGCCTAATGAACAATTGGGTTTGCTTATCACCACGAATTTTATTCAGAAACATATTGTTTTGTGGAATGAAAAAGTTAGGACAGACTCCTTCATATACCCATTTAAGGATTAGTTTGAAGCACTCCCAAAAACGCAACAGGAGATTTTGTGGACGCCAATGAGGTACAGTATTTCGTTGAATCACCCAGAAGACGACTGTCTTCATGTGATAGGAACATAGTAATTTATCCTCTTCTCCTAATCCATTGTTAATGACTTCCTTTAGAATCAATTTCAGCAATCCATACGTTAAGAACTGAGTGTGGTTCATTGAGTACACAAGTATTTGTTCTGCTCGCGAGAAAGAAATTCTCCATTCATGGTCTTCATGATTGCCTAGTTTGTGTCCAATTGGTACAAAGTGGCATCCACTTCTGATGATGTCGCACACAACAGGAGGCTGGGGCCATGAGTGACATCTGTCTATCCAAGAGGCTGCAGGTGGAGGCCAAAAGTCAGAGGCAAAACAGAAGGCAAAATCGAATTCTAATCCAGCAAGAATTCGACTGGCGCATGGTCCATGTGGAGTAGAGCTATGTACCATTGTTTGACGCATGGTTTCTCTGTATAGAGAACTAGATATAAAAAGGTTTCCGTTCCTTATAACAAGTGCTGACAAAATATCGATGTTCGTTTTTACTATAATGTTTGATGATGTTCTTATGCTGCGTGCTGGAATTATAAACTGAAGTAAAGAGAATCCTGGAGGACTATCGGAACAATTACAAAGGAATAATGTGTTTCTGTGCATGTTGTAATAACGAGTCTGAGAAATGTCCCAGATGACCCGTTCGTCTTTCTGCCAGAACATCATATCTTTGTCTGATCCATTCAGTCTGAATCCTTCTCTGTGGCTTCCACTTGTCATTTTAGAGCATGAATCACCACTGACTTCATTATTCAAAATCTCGGTGATGTCTTCCACATCTCTCCTCATAGCCACCAGTTGTGAAGTCCCCACCTTGTGACACAGTCCCACAAACACCGACTCTGACATATGCTGTATGGCTGATTCACTAAATAATCACAACCGAGAAGGTAAAATAAGCACCAAAAATTAATTCCATTTATCATCTAGATATAAAGTTTACATATATATTTTATCTAAAATAAATTTCATTTATTATCAGGATATCAAGTTAATATGAATACTTTATTGATTAAAGTTGTAATAAGCTTAATATTTCTGTAAGAAATAGTTTTTCAACAAAACTTACATAAGAGATTGTGTATTTGAATCCATTTTTCAGACAAGACTAATAAAATGCTTTTTGTACTTTGTCTTGGTACAGGGAAATCCTGCGAAACTTCCTCATGCCTTCTGTGTTACTATTTTAATTTTATAACTCAGTGATAATGACATAACCAGAGTTTTTCCATATCATCATAATTCAAAGAAGGGAGTGTATTTGAGCACGTTCACTGTATGTCACACAAAGAAATTTTCAAATTACCACCAGTATATTAAACTAGAAAACAGTCAAATGATTAATAAAATTTCTAAATCTATTTACTTTACCTTCATATTGTGAATTTTCAGTTTTATGGGATCAACTATCTGAGCTTCTTTTGAAGAAGACAGAAATCATATCTATCCATGTCTTTGTAGTCTGAGGAAGATACCCTGCGACATTTGTTAAAGCCGCTTAACCCGAAACAGGCACATATTATCTTACACAATAAAAGTACGTCATAACATAGATAATATATAAAAATAAATCATAAGATTGATTTAATAGTTTATTACAACAATCCTTAGATGGAAAACATAGACCAAAAACCTTATTGACAAACAGTAGTTCCTGACGGAAGTTAAGATCTGTTGTGAAGTCAATTTTGAAAAAATAAGTTTATGAGTTATATCTTATAATGAAGATAATTCAAACCCGAGTATATTTTTCTCTATTAGTAGAAGCCTTAGTCATAATACATCTTTTCAAAATTAAGAAATTAATCGAATATAATCCATAGTAATTTTTATATTAATATGCATATTTAAAGAATAAAGGAAAATCAGATATTTTAAATTATTTTTTAAAGGAGCTAAAATATTGTCCGTATACAGGTAATATATGTACTTTGTTGTGAACAAAATCTCGGGTTTGTTCTTCATGAGATAAACATGTAAGCGATAAATTTAATTTTTCGAAGGTGATTTCACGCGATATCAACAATGATCAACATAGAATTATTTTTTGTGTGACCTAACAAAAATTTTTTTTTTTAACTTTTGAATTTTGATATCTTTTAAAAGAAAAAGACTTTGGGGATATAATATGACAAAAGTTAAAACAATTTATGGACAATTATTTTTCAAGAAGAAAAACGAATATATATTTTTAGCGATGAGAATCGGACCAAGCGGCTTTAAGGACAGATGATACAAAGAAATTTTTTGTTTGAAAAAGATTTAATATCATGTCACAAGTTCAGAAAAGTGGATGGTTCTTAGAATTTTTTCTCCGAAGAACTGGAAAATGAAATAGACTTGGAAAATATTAGTAATATTTCAATGAAAAAACAAATATAGACAAATCACATTCAGTAAAGGTTTACAGGTGAAAATAAATTTCAGAATATGTTATCTTGGCGCTAAAAGTGTAATATAAATCTTAGAAAAATATACCAAACCAGGTGAATTTTAAGAGGAAGATCAAAATGACAAAAAAATAGCAATATCACATAGGCTGAATTTTACCATTTAGCTTTTCCTAATAAAATTCACCTGGCTTGGTATATTTTTCTTAAGTTTATATTACACTTTTAGCACCATGTTAACATATTTTGAAAATTGTTTTCGCCTGTAAACCTTTACTGAATGTGATTTGTCTATATTTGTTTTTTCATTGAAATATTACTAATATTTTCCAAGTCTTTTTCATATTCCAGTTCTTGGGAGAAAAAATTCGAATAACCATACACATTTCTAAACTTGTGACATAATATTAAATCTTTTTCAAAGAAAAAAATTCTTTGTATCATCTGTCCTTAAGGCTACATAAGGGAAGCGGGGACTGATTTGTAAGGCAACGTTAACTGTGAGATCACACAAAAATATCAATTCCTATAACAGTACAGGAAAATGAAATAATTTGCGATTTTAAAATATATAAGAGTAATGAACGACATCAAAACTCACCATTGCATTCATTTTTATTGTAAGTCAAATCTCACATTGCAAGGTATTATCAAGTCACTGATCGCAATGCACTTGTCGACATTGCCATGGCACCTGATCCCACCTCTGATGTTTTGGAGGTCCGTGTTTGCTCTGCTCCTGTTTTGTATTGTTTTGTGGACTTTTGATCTTAAATACTGTTCATTATCTCTATATGTTTCACTTGTCGACATGACGTCATCAGGGTAAACTTTGTTGAATTGTGGAGTGCGAGGAAAATCAAGTAATTTATTTACAGTGTAAAATGCATTTTACTATTGAACTATTGTCTTTAACAGATGTTAAACAGACGATTAATACCAATGTGAAGCCTTTGTTTAATGCCATTTTTTATAATTATCGACAAAATCTAAAATTAAATTTAATTCTATCGGGTTTTTGTGTACAGGGTTGGAATGTTTTACACTGAAGTGCCTCATTGATTAGATCTTAATTGAATTTCTTTTAAATATACAAAAAGGAAGTTTTACTCAACTTGGAAATTGCTGCTGTCTGATTTCCTCAAATTGAAAGCATTAATTAATCAATAAATAATTAAATTGGTAAATGTCACACAACTTGAAACAGTTACTTGAAATTCAGACTTCTAAAACGCAAATACTATTTAGAGCTACTTTCCAGAAACTATAAAATATTTGAAAACAATTTATAACTTAAACTTGCTTTAGGTCTTTGATTTGAATTAGGGTATTCCATTATACGATGTTAAAATTAGTTTATGACCTCCATGTAATACACATTTTGTGCATTTAGCATGTGACCAAATTCAATACAAATTTAGGCATATTATGTCTAGATATTCCATTGATTTCTCTGTAATATGCAGTAACAGTGCTGTGCTACTTTTCTTTTGCAGTCACTTAAAAAATAGGTCAAGGTCAAAATTTTAGAATTTTAATATGAGTTTGTCAACCGTGCAGTTAATTTTCCCTGTAATTTAAAAAATTGTTGGTTTTATTGGAAGTCATGTGCACATTTTTGAGATGATTTAGAAAGGGAATAGGTAAAACTATCCATTGTTTCTGACATGTGGAACAAAAACTTAAACAATACATCGCAATAATTTTTGGACCTTTGGCCTAAGCATTTAACTCCTATAAATAAATATTTTTTGGTTTTGTCAAAGGTCAACATGTCCAAAAATTTATTTTTACAATAACTGCAAAATTATGTGAAGTATAAAGTTAAAACTTTTTACGGTTTATAATTTTTTCATTGATTAACAGATAGAAAGAATCACTTGATAAAAAAATACTTGGAAAAAATATTTAAATTGAGAAAAGATCTTTTTAAAAATGCATATTGTTTTCAGAAAATGCATCCAATTAATCCCATGCTTTTAGTGAAAACCATCACTGCAGAAACAAATTATGTTTATCAATGAAGGGCAAGTTGGACTTGGATAGCCTCTGGAAAGTTGTTTTTCCTGTTTATTTTGTCCAAATGTTAAGACTTGAAAGCGAAAGAACATTGCAAATGGCGGGTTCTACAGGGGTCTTGTCTTTATACATGTCATGCTTTCAATAACAGCTTTTCAGAGACCATTAACGTCCAACTTGCTCTTTGATAAACATATATTATTTCTGCATTGATGGTTTTCACAAAAAGGACAGAATTAAGTAGGTACATTTCTTTTTAAATATGCACATTTTCTGATAAAATTTTTCTCCAAAAATATCTTTTTTAAAATATGTGTTATCAAGTAATACTTTCTATCTATTAATCAATTATATATTTATACACTGTAAACATTTTGACTTTATACCGCTCATAGTTTTGGAGCTATTGTTAATATAATTTTTTAGACTTGTTGACCTTTGACAAAACCTTAAACTTGACACTTTGTACTTAAGCTGTTCTCCTTTAGTCCTATCCAGAGCCTGTAGACACGCCCCCTGGTGGTTAAGATGACATATATGGAGATAACTAACAAGTATTCAAGCTCAAAGTCCATTAAACAACACAAATATGGTGGGAGAAAAAGAGGACCACTTCCTGCAAGGAATTCTTCTTCTGATCCTTAGTGATCAGGCAAGGGGTTTTAGTTTATAAGAAAATCTGTTTAACAACTAAGTACATGTGTTAAAAGTCTACCTCAGTTTTTAAAACGTACTATAAGGAAATACCTGTAAATGAAGTAATACATGCGTATAAGTACTGAAATAACCTATTAAAGAAAATTTTCAGGATTTGCAGCATAAGAAATGGAAGTAAATTGCTTGATAATTAATAATTTGCTCCCATTTCTTATGCTCCCATTCCTGAAGAAAATGGAAGATGTTCTTTCAGAACTTCAAAATGGAAGATTCAATTACATGTATTAAGAACAATACAAAAAAATTCGTATGTTCCTTTTAAGGAAGTAAAAAAAAGTAAAGTGACTTCTTTATTTAACCAGGTTTACTATGTTAGCTTACGGGGAAGAAGGACCTTTAGCTGAAAAAAAATACCTGTAATTCAATTTTTTCATATTTTGTTTATTTCTAATTTAGTATGTCCTATATACCTTAAAGTAGTTTTATCAGAAGGATTCTAGCCTTATTTTTGAGATATTGATTGACAAATACTATGCCTAACAGAGTCTAGGTGGATATTTGATTCTCCGTGTTTCTGGGTCCATTACTCTGTCCATAATGGAATTTTTTCAGAATAGATAAAAAATATGTCAGTGGACAGTCTTTTAAAATATTTCAGAGTATGAATAGGGTTTAAAATTCGAAAAAGCAAGATTCTTCTGTCACACTGCATCTGGATAGGGAAAATTACTAGTACATACTTTTTTACACAACTTAAACAAGAAAAACATTTAATTTGCAAAA